TCTGTAAGATGTCAGTTAACAGTAGAATGAAAGGTAGATGAGAACTCTTTATATTAATTTTGCAACTTTCTTATAAGTTATTTCAAAATAAACTTAAAAGTTAAAATGTTAAAAATTTAAATTAGAAAATACTTACTGCACCAAGTGATGGTCCATATCTTCCTGTGGCAACTTTACACACGTAACTGACAAAATTCGAAATAACACCTGAGAAATAAGTCACATTTCAGTAATTTAAGTGAGGTATAAAAATGGTTTCCATTTCTGCTGTTCACTCTACCCAAATTAAGTGTCAGGTCTCTATCTGGATCACTATAAGGGCGTAGGCATCAATACTTATCCTGCCTATCACTTCAGCTATTTACAGGGAAAGAAAGTCTGACCCACTCTATGACTTGCTGAATGACACAGAGTCATTCACTTTCCCTCTCAGTTATTTTCTTCAACTGTAATATAAAGAAAGGAGACTAGTTCCCAAACTCATCAACTATCTCAAAGTCCTCGGGGCTGTACTCCGGATATACTAAATCAGAATCTCTGGGGCAGGATACTAGGCTAGATGATCCTTTAGGTCCCTTTGGCTCCAATGTCATTGAGTTAATGTGGCTCATTTTAAAAAAACAACTTTCTATGGAGTAGGAAGTGATGGCATCTGAAACAGACCCTCTGGACCTACAATGACACAACTAGTGCTTGGGGAAGGAACTATATGCTTATCTTACAAGCCAACGATATTGCTCAGCTTCTACTTTTTACATACACTAGATACACATAAGTATTCAATAAACACTGATTAAGCGTCTACTCTGGGCCTTGTGGTAGATGAGAGGATAACTGCTTTTCTGCACTACAGCACACTGCCAGATATACTATTTTTTAATGTAGAGATTTTAGAAATAAATTTTTATATTTTATTGTTTTAATTAAGTAAATTTGGCAGAAAAGCAAGTAAAGTTTGATCAATTGTCAACTTAGCAGCATCTAGGGACCTGGAATCGTGCACTGTAATTTCCTAATTGAAATAAGAAAATGATGCCACCTCCAAGGCCACGACTAGGAAATAGTTCCACGCCAATATAAATTCTTGCAGAACAGACGGAACAAATTCATTCTTGATAATCATACCACCCTGAACGCACCTGATCTTGTCTGAGCTCAGAAGCTAAGCACAGTCGGGCCTGGTTAGTACTTGGATGGGAGACAATCTATTGGAAAGCTCTGATCTAAAACCTCTGGAAACTGAACACACGGGGAAATGAGTTTGCTTAAGGCTATTTAACAAAGATCCAGATACTTGAGACAGCCAGGAAGTTGGGAACCACTATCTATAAAATGGTGGGTCTGAGCTAAAGAAATCAAGGTCTAGTGGGACAAAAATGACATGCTTAAATTCTACACGAACTCCTAACTCTTGTTTATCCTAATTTAAAACTAAGCATGGCCGGGTGCGGTGGCTCACGCCTGTAATCCTAGCACTCTGGGAGGCCGAGGCGGGCAGATTGTTTGAGCTCAGGAGTTCAAGACCAGCCTGAGCAAGAGCAAGACCCCATCTCTACTAAAAATAGAAAGAAATTATCTGGACAACTAAAAATATATAGAAAAAATTAGCTGGGCATGGTGGCGCATGCCTGTAGTCCCAGCTACTCGGGAGGCTGAGGCAGAAGGATTGCTTGAGCCCAGGAGTTTGAGGTTGCTGTAAGCTAGGCTAACGCCATGGCACTCTAGCCCGGGCAACAGAGTGAGACTCTGTCTCAAAAAAAAAAAAAAAAAAAAACCTAAGCATACCAAAATAATTCATGTAAAAGGCAGTCAGCAAAATGAGAAGAAAGACAACAGCTCCCCCAGTCTGTAGTTCCCTTGTCTACATACAACTTGAGAAACAAGTCCTGAGCACTTCCTGTGTGTAGAATATGGAGGTAAACGTTCCCTCAGTCCCTTCTGCAGACAGATGAGAGTACTTATGCCCCCAAAGGCCCTGAGATTAAAGCTTATTACCTGCAGACAGGTATACGGCCATGAACTGCTCTTGACCCAGAATGTTCACTATGCTGGAGGAGAAGCTCCACAAAACATACATATTTGCTGCCATGTGAAGTAAGGAGAAATGGCTGAATGTTGAGAGCAACATTGGAGAACAAAGGACCTCTACAAGAGAGAAAAGCACAGTCTGGTAATCATGGAGTATATAGCCAGTAAAAATTATCTATTTTAAACTTTTATTATTGGCTGGGCGCGGTGGCTCATGCCTGTAATCCTAGCACTCTGGGAGGCCGAGGCAGGAGGATTGCTTGAGCTCAGGAGTTCAAGATCAGCCTGAGCAAGAGCGAGACCCTGTCTCTACTATAAAAAAAATTAGCTGGGTGTGGTGGCATGCGCCTAAAGTCCCAGCTACTCCGGGGGCTGAGGCAGGAGGGTCCCTTGAACCCAGGAGTTTGAGGTTGCTGTGAGCTAGGATGATGCCACGGCACTCTAGCCGGGGCAACAGAGTGAGACTCTGTCTAAAAAAAAAAAAAAAAAAAAAAAAACACCAAAAAAAATAGACTTTTATTATTATTATAAAACAAATCAAACATGGGAAATAAAACTAGAACCAGCTAAAAGCTTAAATAAGACAGTTTAAGACAGCATTTTTCAAAGGGGTAAAAGCTTTCTCAATAAGTCTCTTTTCTACTTAGTAAGCAACCAATAAAAATTTTCAGTTCAATGAAAGCCACTGTCCTTATGGCAAAAGTTAGGAGAAAGAATGAGTAAATTATTTTAATTATAGATAAAAAGTTGTATATATTAATAATATTCTCCTCAAAGAATAAACTTGTAGTGATCAGACCTTAATTCATTAAAAAATATTTAGATTCTAATATGTACCTTAGTATGTGTACCTTACTATGTACAAGGTACATATTAGGCACCTGCAATACAGCATTAAGAGAGACGAGCTTTCTGTCCACAAGCAGTTTACAGCCCATCCTCCAGATTTTGCTTGTAATTACTGACAAATAATTCATCTTTTTTATAGCCTTTCAATGAACATAAAGCATATTTCTTTCATATTATCTCTACCTCAAAATAAAATCACACAAGTTAGACTTACTTGAGGCTGGATTGGATGTGAAATATCTGATCATTGTCCTCTGTAGAGAAGGGACTCTCCATAAACAGAATACAAAGACATTTGCAGCTATGATACCTATGAAATAAATATTTATAATTTGGGGAGAGTAAAAAGAAGAGTAAAGACAGTTTGATCTAAAGTCCACCTGAATAAGATTTTCTACCATAATTATATAAGAGTACTATATACTTTCGGGGTGGGAGGGGAACTAAGAAAAGTGAAATCAATACTTTTAAAGTACCAAAACTGTAAAGTCACAGAATTTCTGGAAAATTGCAAATGCTCTAGGACCTAACTTCCTTCACCTAGATCCATATTTTGCTTCTTCAGAACAGTTCAGTCTTCTTGATAATAATCATATCTATAATTATTTAATAATGGCCAAGCCAAAGATAGAAGTAATATACAGAATTAAGTTCTCTGGCCAAGACTAGAAAAGCTAACATCACTTCTTTTACTTCAGGGAGTGGTATGCTTCTTAAACTCATTGCTGGCTCATGGAAGGATCTGTGGATCATCCGTGTAGATGGTCAACATGTTTGAGAAAAATACTCATTTGACAAGAATTCAGGGATAATCTGGAAGAATTTGCAACTGCTTTTGAAGTATGTTTACATGTGGGAGTTGGGTGACTGTTTCATTTTTCTGCAAGTACCTGATGTTGCTAGTACTATAAGTAAATTCAGTAAGTTTATTTCACAACAGAATTAACTAGGCACATTTTAGGGAAGAAATTATTTCCGAAAAGCACATGCTGTAAAAAATACATTAGTTTTATGAATTGCCACAACTCCTTGCACATAGCAGGTATTCATCTACTTGTTGAATTAAAGGAATTTAAACATTTATTCCTCCAATCTCTTTAAGCAACAGGCAAGTGGCACTTTCAACTTCTTCAATGACAATAGGACTGATTTCAGCAACATTCTGGTAGGAGGATTTATTTCAGAAGATATTCTTTTTATAATAGTCCCTGCCAGCCACTGCACCTTGGAGTTAGCTTTGGCTTCCATATTTGCTCATTCTGTAAGGCTCTCAGCTATCTCCTGCCATTTCAAGTCTGTCCAATTTTTGCTCTCCAACTTGAGAGTCAGGTAGGAAAAGAAGCTACTATCTTTCATAGATTCTAAGACATTTTTCACATTTTAATATCTGAAATCAGGATGCATCTTAAAATTAGTGGTGTGTCACAGCTTAATTAGTAGCATTTTTTCCTTTCTCCATAATGTATTAAATGTAGTTTTATTGCATTTTATTAATTCATCAGTTGTATCAGATATCTCACTAGTAGGAACTGTGACAGCTGTCACACCATCTTTGATAAATACCTAGAACTCTTTCGAAGATGGCAAGAGGGACAGTGTTTATAGGGATCATAAGCAAGGCAATTAAGAGTACTGTGTGTACCTCCCAATGAGAAGCCTGGAACCCTAAGAGGAGGTGGGCAGAGGAAAGGCAGAGACTCGGGAGGTTTATCCTACAGGAAGACAGCAGTGATGAGTGTTGCCTAGAGTTCTTTAGTTTTCTTTAGAAGAGTTATAAACATCTTTACTACCCAGAGCACCCTCTTAGGTCTAGGTTGCTGTACATACAGCTGATTGATATCTTAGAGTAAAGAAAACCTGAGAATAGTTTGGACATCATCATAAAGATCAGGTTTCCATGAGGTTTCCATGATCATAAAGATAATCAGTCAGGGCTTTGGTGTTTACTTTACTTGTGATTCAATGCAAAGAGAGCAAGAAGGGGTCCCTTATCCTACCCGCTAGGTTGAAAAATGGCAACAAATACCCTGCCTACTCTTTCAGTTCCACAGGCTGCTTCCTCAAATCAGTGACAAAAAGCACACACAACTTCTGGAAACCACAGGTACCACAGCACTGTAGAGAAGTAGGATGCATCTCTGGTTAAAGTGATTACAATTAGGGAAAAGACTTGAAAAAGGGAAAGATAACCAAAAACATCAAGGTTAACAGGAAACAAAGAGTAAACACTGCCAAGTTTTCAATCCAAATGCAAGAAGCCTTTCCGGTAAATTATGAGAGTAGTGGCACTGGAACAGACTGTATTCAAAATCCCTCACTCCATAGGTCAGTGGTCACCAAACTTCTTTGATTAGGCACCCCATCAGCAAACAAGTGAATAGACATACCCAACATGTGTATACTTATTTACAAATTATACACACGAACCACTATAGCTCATTATAAAACACACTAACAAATTAAAAAGATATGAGGAAAATAAAATGCAGGTATTTTCTTCCTTGCAAATCCCATTTTGAAGGCCAGTTATAGGTGAGAAAACCGAGGCTCTAAAAGGTACAAATTGTCAGAGAGGCAAAATTCAGTGGCCAAGCCAGAATTCCTAATCTAGTGCCTACTATATACCAAGACAGGGGTAGCCTGGAGACTTTATTTTGACCTTGGTCTTTCTAGGACTTCAGACACCAGAAAAGGGCTCCCTAGCTGAGAAACAGCACAGGCCGGTCCCCAGAAGCAGGTGAGAAGGAGAGGATGTGCGGTAATCCCAGGCCTACTGAGGCAGCACTGCACACTGGCTGAAAGTGTGGTGAAGGAATCCAGCAGAACTGACTCTGTCCTACTTACATTATAACCTGGGTAAGAGGCCTAACCTCTCAGCCTCAGTTTTCTCTTCTGTAAAATGAGGATAAGAAAATCTACCTAAAAGAGTTGAGTGATGATGAAATGAGAAAACACAATTAAATGTAGCAGTCACACACTAATGAACCAATAAAAGAAATTATGGTGGAAAGAGAATGGCCTTTTCAGGTCTGAATCCTAGATAATGCCACTTAGCATTTTATCCCTTTCACTTCAGTTTCCTCATCTGTAAAATGAGGATAATAATTCCTTCCTCAAAGGCTGTAGTGAGGCTTAAGTAAGACAGTACATGCACCTAGCATGCAGATGATTAAAGAATGACTTCCTCCTCTCTCTTTCTCCTTTGAGAAATGCAACAGCTTAAGGTCTCTGTATCTCCATTTAATACAGGTGTTACCTGATTCCTCCTGACTCAGTGACTTCCTGGACAAGCTTGACACTACTGATTCGGGAAGGCTGCTGTCCCCATGCCAACTTCTACCAAGTGTGAACACAAAATAAGGATCTCTGAAAACTCTCTCCTTCATAAAAGCAATGAAAAAACTTGCAAAAATTATCAGAATCAATTTTTCAGAACTCTGGAAACTAACCAAAGGCTTGCAGCAAACCAGAGAACATTTATTTAAAAAAACTTGGTGAATCTCAGAACAGCTAGCTTTGTAGTGTTTTACCTTGCCCTAGTCTCATCCCCTGCTCTCCAGCTCCAAAGTAACCTTGAAAACAGCCCACATTCCCAGTGGAGACTGACAACCACCAGGAGCTGGTAGAATTGTGCTGGACCTCTTTCAAAGCCTCATTTCCTAAGAATTGTCATTATCTGACCTGGCGGTTGCTTCCCCAAAAGATTCCACTTGCAAGGCTGTATTTAACCTGACTGGGTCATTTTGCCAGAGGGCATTTATCAAAAACAATTACAGGTTAAATGCTTTAAGTTGAAGGCTGCCTGAGAGGTGGACAACACCTGGGGCAAATAAGAGTCTAACCAAAATCTTAAAAAGAAAAGCAGGGAAATAAGATTTCCATGCAGAGTGGGGGGAGGGTCTATGGCATACTACCCTGAATGTGCCCGGTCTTATCTGATCTCAGAAACTAAGTAGTGTCAGGTCTGGTCAGTACTTTAATGGGAGATCACATGGGAATACTGGGTGCTGTAGGTATTTTTCAAAAAAAAAGATTTCCAGGGAAGGTTTGAAAACCTCCAACATATTACTGGCATCTAGAAGGTCATGTGCACAACAAGACAAAATAGACTTTAAGACATAATACGTTACTAGGGACAAAGAAGGATATTATATAATTTAAAAATCAATCCATCGATTAGATATAACAATTAAAAACATACACACCTAACAACAGAATCCCAAAATACATGAAGAAAAATGGACAGAACTGAAGGAAGAAATAAACAATTCAACAATAATAGCTGGAGAATTCAATACACCATTTGCAATAATAGATAGAAAAATTAGATGATCAGCAAGGAAGCAGAAGACTTGAAAAACACTATAAAACAACTCAGCCTAACAGACATCTATAGAACATGCCACCCAACAACAGAATACACATTCCTCAAATGCACATGGGATATATTCTAGGATATGTTCAGCCACAAAATAAGTCTAAGTAAATTGAAAAACACTGAATTTATACAAAGTATGTTCTCTGATCACATGGAATGAAATTACAAATCAATAACAAAAATAAATTCGGAAAATTCACACATACATGGAAATTAACACACTCAAAGAAATCACCAGGGAAATTAGGAACTTTGAGATGAATGAAAATAAAAATACAACAAACCAAAACTTACAGGATTCAGTAAAAGCAGTACAATGAATGCCTACATTAAAAAGGAAGAAACATCTCAAATCAATAACCTAACTTTCCACCTTAAGAACTGTAAAAAGGAGAGCAAACTAAACCTAAAGCAAGCAGAAGGAAGAACATGGATAAATGACATAAAGGACAGAACAGACAAAAAAAATCAATGAATCTAAAAGTTGGATCTTCGAAATGTCAACAGAATTGACAAACTTTTAGCTAGAGGGACAAAGGGGAAAAAAAGACTCAAATTACTAAAATCAGGTATGAAAGCAGAATACTACTACTGACATTACAGAAATAAGGACTACAATTGAATACTATGAACAATTATATACAAATGAGAATAATTAAGATGAAATTTTAAAAGTCCTAGCAAGACACAGACTACCAAAACTGACTCAAAAGAAATAGAAAATCCGACTAGACCAAGAACAAGTAAGACATTGAATTAGGAATCAAAAAAACTTACCACAAAGAAAAGCCCAGAACCAGATGGCTTCATGGCGTTTTTGTTTCCTAAGGCCGCTGTAACAAATTACCACAAACTTGGTGGCTTAAAACAACAGAAATAATGCAGTAACACAACCAATCAAAAAAAACAAAAAACAAAAAACAGAAATTTATTCTTAGAGTTCTGGAGGCTAGAAGTCCAAAATCAAGGTGTCAAAGTATCAGTAGGGCTATGTCTCCTTCT